CTCTGTTCACATTTTCAAAACTTTTTTTGCAAGGTGGTTGGTTGTTGAAGTCTCTGCTGATGTGTGCTTCACCTGCATGATGCTTCAGATGTCAACTATCTGTCTAGGTCTGTTTGCCCTTCTTGTTTTTTTCCTGTGAGCCTATTACTGTTGTTTTGGCTATTTTGTTGCCTACCCCTTGGATTATTGCTTTTGGGGGTATCCCATGGTCTTAGAATAATTCCTGTGTCCTGTACTATACAATTACTAATTAATATGAATTATCACTTACCTGTAAGTTCCATACCTTTGAGAAAAGTACAGTACAGGACTCGGGTCCCTTTCTTCTGTCCTCTGTGATCGTACTGCTTGCTTACAAAACTGCTGCATGGAGTGAGCATTTTATATTGATACACTGTGAGGCGCTCCCAGCAATGCTTTTTGCCAGTGTCCAATCACCTGAAGATAGCGCCACATGACCCATAAATTCCCATGTCATGAACCTGTTGAAAGGGGTACATCAGGTCTACAATTTTAAATGGATGCTAATATACAGTGCTGTGAAAAAATAAATACACCCCATGGAAGTAAAGGATAGATAAACTTATATACGCCCTAATACATTAAACCCATGTATGATATAAAACTCTGTACAAACATTGCCTTACACATATATCAACATTAAAATGAACAAATGAAAAATATTATATACACACGTTACTGTTATATAGTCATAGACAGGTGTGATAAAATGCTGTAAATGAAGAATGCTTTAAGAAACAGAAGTGTTCATAGTTTATTTTTATCAGTTAACAAAATGGAAAGTAAATGAATAGAAGTGACTACCTTTTACCTTCAAAATAGCATCAGTTCTTCAATTCTTCTAGGTACACTTGCACACAGTTTTTGAAGGAACTCGGCAGGTAGGTTGTTCCAAACATCTTGGATAACTAACCACAGATGTTCTGTGGATGTAGGCTGCTTCAAAGCCTTCTACCGCTTCATGTAATACCAGACAGATTCCATGATGTTGAGATCAGGGACCTGTGGGAGCCAAACCATCACTTCCAGGACTCCTTGTTCTTCTTTATGCTGCAGATATTTCTTAAAGTCTTACTAAACCCACAACAGTAAGATCAGTCTGTATATGCAGTAAAGCATGCTTGTTATACTCCCTACGGAACCTAAGGGGTTAATCCTCCGCATTGTGTAAAAAGGCTGATTGATCCTGTCTTCTCTGATTTTCCCCTTCTTCTACTGTCCCCAATCCATCTGCTGATAGTACAGAGTTTTAGGAGTCACTCTGCACATGCTCAGTTTAGTGTGTTGCTAAAGAAGTTTTTTTTTTTTTCTTTGGGAGGGTGCATGTGATCAGCACAGAGCCAATCCCCACTGTCCAGACAGAGGGTAAGGGGTTATTCAGCATCATAGGACAGTCAGATCAGAATGAAAGCTGCTCCTCCAAGGTTAACCAGTGCTCAGATGGACACTGATAGAAGTCACAAGATGAGAAAAGGTATTTAGCCGTTTATATTTACTAAACTAATTGCATTTCCATGTTCTGTGTACTGTGGAAGACCAGATATAGTGAATGCAGGGACCTGGGTTTATTAACACTTAATGATATTGGCTGTATGTTTGTTGTTGTCCTGCTGCAGAATACATTTTGTGGCCAATCACACTGATGGTATAGAATTATGAATAAGTATCTTCCTGTATTTCTCAGCATTGAGGACACCATTGATCCTGACCAAATCTCCAACTCCATTTCCAGAACTGTAGCCCCAAACTTGCAAGTAATCTCCACCATGCTTCACTGTTGACTGCAGACACTCATTATTGTACCACTCTCCAGCCCTTTGAAATATTTGACTGTTGCAAAAGGCAGTTTGTCTGCAAAGCATGACTAGTCTAGAGTACCTGCTGCCATTTTTCTCCACCACAGTTTCTATGTTTTCATGCATTGTTAAGTCCCCTTAGCCTTGTCTCCATGTCCTATGTTTCAGGTTAGATGCCAATAATTAGAGTCTGGTTAAGGATTCTGCAGGTGGAATTTCATCTTAAATCTCAGCTATCCTAGGGTCTGTCGTTCTTTTTGCTAAATCTAAGTGGCAACCTTTAAAGGCTTTTAAAGCACTGCCTATGGATAATAATATTTACGCCATTTGTCACTGTTGAACAGGTGTACACAAATTTAAAGCGTGGCATCTATTTACTTGGTGTAATATCATCTTTTATATTTTACCAAACAATTGAGTATTATGTTGTGTTTTTGTGCATTAAAATTCAAAAAAGTTCTTTTTTTTTTTCAAAAACAAATTGTTTCAAAATTGCTGCACAAATACCGTTTGACATAAAAATTGCAACATCCACATGATATTTTCTAGCGCCTCTGCTTTAAAAAATATATATAATTTGTGCGGGTTTCGAACTATGTTTTCTAGCAAAAAAATAATTATTTTTAAATGTACACAAAAAAAGTGACAGAAAAGTCCTGGTCTTCAAGTGGATATACAGTACAAGTGTCTAATTCCATTAGCAAGGTTTCATGTCTATACAAAAGCCTTGCATTCCTATGCCATGAATTGTATCCATACAGGAGGGCTTCAGTCCCATGCATTATTATTGTTAGGTTATATTTTAACTTTTGATAAGCTCCTGAAATTATCATGTTAGCCAGCTGTTAGAAGCAATGAGACCAGTCAACCATGGAAAATATTAGATATAGGTAATGAGCAACACCATACTTAAATATTCAAGAGATCTGTGTTTCCTCAACTGATTCGATTTCGTATCAAATAGTGAAGGGAAAGTAGTGAGAGGAAGGTTTAAAACCTCTGTTAGAATTTGATTGTTGTCTGAGCCCTCATGGTGGGTATCTAGTCCCCTCTTCCTAACCAGGAATACTTTTTTCAAGGCACTGTCGATCTGTGTCCACTTTGAGGAAACAGATGTACATAGTTACATAGTTAGTCTGGCTGAAAAAAGACAAAAGTCCATCCAGTTCAACCATTAAAAAAAAGTTATAATCCTATATCCACAGTTGATCCAGAGGAAGGCAAAAAAACCCCAGCAAAACATGATCCAATTTGCTCCTGCTGGGAAAAAAATTTCTTCCTGATCCCCCGAGAGGCAATCGGATATTCCCTGGATCAACTTTACCTATAAATGTTAGTATCCAGTTATATTCTGTGTATCTAAGAAAGAATCCAGGCCTTTTTTAAAGCAATCCACTTAGCTGGCCAGAACTAACTTTTGAGGGAGTCTATTCCACATTGTCACAGCTCTCACTGTGAAGAAACCTTTCCGTGTTTGGAGATTAAATTTCTTTTCCTCCAGACGTAAAGAGTGCCCCCTTGTCCTCTGTGATGACCTCAGGGTGAATAGCTCTACACTGAGTTCACTATATGAACCACTGATGTATTTATACATGTTGATCATATCCCCCCTTAATCTCCTCTTCTCAAGAGAGAATAAATTCAGTTCCTCTAATCTTTCCTCATAGCTGAGCTCCTCCATGCCTCTTATCAGTTTGGTTGCCCTTCTCTGTACTTTCTCCGGTTCCCCAATATTCTTCTTGTGAATTGGTGCCCAAAACTGAACTGCATATTCCAGATGAGGTCTTACTAATGATTTGTACAGGGGTAATATGATATCTCTCTCTCTGGAGTCTATACCTCTTTTAATACAAGAGAGGATTTTGCTCGCTTTAGAAACCGCAGCTTGGCATTGCATGCTATTATTAAGCTTGTGATCTACCAGAACTCCCAGATCCTTCTCCACCATTGATTCCCCCAGTTGTACCCCCCCTAGTATGTATGATGCATGCATACATTAAACCTAATTTGCCACATAGTTGCCCAATTAAACAGTACATTGAGGTCGTTTTGTAAATTGAAGACATTCTATAAGGACGTTATTCCACTGCACAGCTTGGTGTCATCTGCAAAGACTGAAATGGGATTTTTAATCCAAGACCCTATATCGTTTATAAATATATTAAAAAGTAAGGGTCCCAACACTGAACCTTGGGGTACACCACTGACAAAGTAGAGTCTATTCCACATTTTCACAGCTCTCACTGTGAAGAAACATTTCCGTGTTTGGAGAGTACATTTCTTTTCCTCCAAACGTAAAGAGTATCCCCCTTGTCCTCTGTGATGACCTCTACACTGAGTTCACTATATGAACCACTGATGTATTTATACATGTTGACCATATCCCCCCTTAATCTCCTCTTCTCAAGAGAGAATAAATTCAGTTCCTCTAATCTTTCCTCATAGCTGAGCTCCTCCATGCCTCTTATCAGTTTGGTTGCCCTTCTCTGTACTTTCTCCAGTTCCCCAATGTTCTTTTTGTGAATTGGTGCCCAAAACTGAACTGCATATTCCAGATGAGGTGTTACTAATGCTTTGTACATGACAAAATGTGGAAAATTTCAAGGGGTATGAATACTTTTACAAAGCACTGTATAAATCTTCTATGTCCAAGCTCATATTTACAATTTGCAGTCAGTAGTTGGAGCTGCACACTCCTTCCACAAGAAAAAAAAACACATTTATGGGACTCAGAAGCTAATGGTTAGATAATACACACAACAGTCTTTTTACAATACCCGACAGATTTCAATTTAAAGAGGAACCAAAAACAAAAATCTATTGCTTAAGAAAACCTATAATGCTCTGTGAAATCTGTTTCATGGGTGATTCCAATATCTAATGTTTCAGCTGTTAAAGATTTGTGAACTTACAAAAAAATGGATTCAAACCTTTGCAGTTTTCCATTAGGCCTAGAAAGGTTTAAGTGCATTCATCCTCTAAATAATTTATTGATTTAACAGTGTGCAAACATTCAGTGATTTTTTTTTTTTTTTTACTTTCAGCAGAGAGAACAATGTGCTGTTAGTGTTTTTACAAGGACATAAGACAAAATTTGGATTTTACAGTATATTATCATTTTGCTGAATGTAGGATGACAGACACATCTATATTAACCTCTCCTGTCTTTTCTTTGGTCTACAGTATGACAGCACTTTGGCTTCTCTGAATGGCTTAGAAGTTCATCTGAAGGAGACTTTAACCCAGGACAGTAACAATGTGGCAAAAACCACTTACAACTTTACCCACTATGATTCAATCCAGAATATTCTCACAGGTGCATAATGTGAACTGCATTGGTCAAATCTGTTTAAAGTATGCTTGCTATACACAGGAAGTTGCTGTTTTCATTTTGTGGGATGCCATAAAACAAACATCAATAAATAAATAAATGGTGGGCAGCATTTTCTATAAATGCGACTGCCTCTGATTGACTGTTATTTGTCATTGGCAATACAATAAGTAGAAACTTATAAATTGCCTTTGTTTGTTCTCTGTTTCTATAGAAGATATCCAACCTAAAAAAGAGAGAACACCACACACTTCTGAATACCAGAGAATCAAGTGTTTTTATTAAAAAGATGAATGTATCTCCTGCCAGATGTAAGCTCCACCTCTGATGTGTTGAGGATGATAACATGTCAAGGTAGAGCCTGCATCCAGCGAGCCATAAATCTACATCTTTTTAATAAAGGCTCAGTCTTCTGTAATTCAGCAGTGTGTGTGGCTTACTTCCTTTTGTTGTAGATTTGGATGTATGATGGATAACTACATGCCAAGGCACCCACGGTTGGCTACTGTACTGAATGTGAGCTTGGAGAAATACCTTCAGCAGAATGCCAAAAATGATTATAGTCAGCTAAGCTACAAAAATTGTTGTTAGTTGAATAGACAATGTTATGGTCATAGCATGGACCTTTCTCAAATTAGGCCTATGGGAGGGCATAAAGAACTTCTTTTGTTTGTGTGTGTGTTTTTTTTTTTTTTTTTTCTTTTCAGTTCACAATTTATGCTTGGTTTCCCACAGTGATTGCAGACATGGCTACTAAGATTGTTTCCACTCTCGATCCACTGAACAAACTGAGAAAAATGTTGTACCAAAATTGACTTAAATCCACTTTCTAACTAGGATGCTCCATAAGTAATCCCTACCTAGGATCTATGATTAAGCCCTTATTCGGTGAAGTGTATCAGAAGAGGTTCCAGCTAGGGGATTACTATGGGACATCCTAGTGAAAAATTGGATTTTTGGTTGATTTCAGTGCATATAGGAGTTGTGTTCGTTTTCTTCTTGTCCGTTGAGGAACACAACTATTCTTACACCTTCAGATTATACTGCTGCCTGCAGAAGTAATGGACACTGGAGAACAGGAAAACTGTAGGCAAGCCTGAGGTATAATTTTCACATTTGCAGCATGTCCTAGTGTTTTGCTAGTGTCTTTGGAGTATAGCCTTTTTAAAAGTTGTTTTAAAGGCTACCCTGTGAGCTTTCCAGCAACTTCTCCAACACGCAGCTATCCAGCTTGGTCATCCTGGCTCAGACTCTGAGCACAGAGGCCATGAACAAGTTAACAGTACCTCTCCAGCAGATTCTATATTGGATTTGCTTATTACCTTCTGAGCCATCCTAATAAAGCGGACAGTGAGTGTATGTCCTCATTGGCCAGTCCTGCCTTACACCCCATTTTGGCTATGATCTTGCTTTGTCAAACTATGCCTGAATGGTCCAAATTCCTTGAAAAGGATCTTACTGCTGCTGGCATTGACCCTCAGATCATTTAGTGCATGGAACAGATATCTGTGGCTTTAAACTTTAGCTGTGATGGACTTTTGGAAGCCTCCCAGCTTGTTTCCTGTACTGCCCGCATGTCACTAAAAATGCGTGATGCTATGTTCTGCAGTCTAGGACTTTAGCCCATTGGCTAAAGTTTTGGACTGCCAAACTTTATTGCAAGAAACATTTTATATGCATGGCCTTCCATGGACATCTCTTACACCAGTGCTGGACGCCATCATCAAGGATGCCCACTTGGAGGCAAAAGCGCTCATCTTTGCTGATTCTGCACTTGGCAAACATCATTTGGAATACTATACTGATTACAGATCTTATGAGGGCCATTTTAAGTGTGTCTCACTGGAGGCATTATACATGCCTCCATTGAGACTTTCCAATGTGCTTATATGCTCATTGGAATACAGCTTACCTACGGAGAAATTGTCCTATGAAAAAAGTAAAGTTAATGTTCCTCAAGGCTCTGGAGGACAATGCGTCTCTGACTGTACAGACGTTGCAGAGGTTTAACTGGATCCTGCACCTTCAAGAATCACTGGAATAATTTCTTGAAATATTAGGGGCTGGTCTTGGAGACTTCCCAGGCCAGATTATTCATTTTCTAGAAAAAAAAACAGGCTCTTGATTCCATAAGTCATCTATCTTCATCTTCTGTATGATGTTCACAGAGCTGATGGTAGCCTTCTTCAAGACATATTCCTTTGCCCGATCCCACTCTATACATTTGCAAGTTAACATCCTATCATCATGGTTCTGTCTCTGAATAGATCAATTTGGTAAACACAGAGACCAGACTGTCCGTGTCTTGTTTACATTTGGATCTGGTGTTGGAGTAATTTCTTCCCATGTTAATGAAGATTCTGATGATGGATGCCAGCCTGTTTGACTGGGGGGTCCTGAGCACCTTGTTGCTGTCGCAGACATGCTCACCAAAGGGATCTATTTATCCAATTATCATCTTGGAAATTCTGGTGGGCTGGCTGTCCCTCCAACATTGACCCAACCTGTTAAAGGGTCATCCTAGTCAGATCCTGTTGAACAGAATCACAGCCATTTTTGCATACAGTACATCAACCATCAGGGATGTCTAATTGTGACAAATGAGGTAAAATGGATCCTGTCCAGAGTGGAACTTCGGGTTCCAGCCTTGTCAGCCATTTACTTTCCAGACGTAGACAATTGACAGGCAGATTTTCTTAACTGGCAGTGTCTTGACCGGGGAGAGGCTTTCCCCACCTGAAGGTGTTCCAGAAGTTGTGCCACATGTGCGGACATCAGATCAGGACCTCTTGGACTGCATATTCAACAACTGGACAGATTTGTATCCAGGTTCAAGGATCTGCTGGCAGAGGCAGTAGATGCTCTAGTTGCTCCATGGGATTAGAACACTCTAACCATTTATTTTCCTGCTCAGAAGCACTTTCTTTGTCTGCACTGTAGGATCAAAATTGAGGACATTCTGGTAATACTCATTGCTGCAGATTGGCTTAGGTTGATGTGGTATGCCAGCCTGATATGACTTGCAACAGACAAGCCATAGACTCTGCCAGACAATCTGCTTCCTGATTCCTGCACCCTGCTTCCTGATTGCAGGCATTAACAGCATGGCTGTCAATGCCTAGGTTCTAGAGGGACAGGGTTATGTGAGTCTTATTATCACAATGCCCAAGGCTAGAAAGTATAGTTCCCACAAGATCTGTCATTGGAATTGTAAGGTTGTAGTTTGGTTGGAATTTCTCAAAAAAAACAGACCCCCCTTCTCTGCAGTCGGGTGTGGACTACACTTAGCTCTTGGTACCAGATCTCTACTTACTTACTTTCTTTCTTTCTTTCTTTTCCTTCACCCCCCCCCCCCCCCCCAAAGAAAAAATCAGGACATTGTTCTCTTGTTTGGTTTAGGCTGTATGTGTATATTTTTCAGCCACTGCTTCTTCTGAAGACTGATTCATTTTTATAATACCTATGGGCTCAAGGAAAGCACCCTGGCTTCTCCTTCCACCATTTCTAGGTGGCTCAGATAGACTATTATTTAGGTTTATGATCTTAAGGATCAGGTTCCTCCCCTTCCTGTTCAGGCTCACTTCAATGGGGCTTGAGTACTTTTTTGGGCTTTTTGGTATCAGGCCTCTTTCCTAAATTTGCAAGGTTGCAGCTTAGTCCTCTGTTCACGCTTTCTCTAACCTTTTCCAGGTGGATGTTTCTGCCTCATCTGATGCCAGCTTCAGACATAAGGTCCTTCATGCAGGTCTTGAGCTGCATGCAGTCACCAGTTCTTGTTTACAATGGGTCTGGTAGCGGTTGTTCTGCTGTGTTGCCCACCTCTGAGTTGGGCTGCCTTTGGATGTCTTGAAAGTTTTAGGACTGTTTCCCTCAATTAATGAATAAGAAAATCAGACTTTTGTACTCACTATTTAAATCGTTGTCTTGATATCCTGCTAAAGATTTATCATTTTGGCCGGCTATTGTTATAGTGCACACACTTCTCTCTGTAAAATAACTCTCCTACCTCCTGGTTTAGTGTTTTCTGCTACTTATGTCAACTCTTTGCTCACTGGACACAGGTCTTGATGCTGATTCTGTGTCCAGTGACGAGGTTGGGTGGAGAATTGATATAGGAAGATGAATTGCTGAACCAGGAGGGAGGAATTGCTTAATTAGGAACTATGCATGTAATCTGTTTCTACAGTGTGCAAATCGCTAGAAGGACTGCACAGAACTATAAAATCTTTTTTTTTTCTTGCCAGAGATTGTTCCCTCCACTCTTTTTTTTTTTTTTTTTTTTTTCTACTGCCTCAGAATCGGATTCCTCTATTTCCCATTTCTGACACAGCTCTCTTTTACAGTACATGCATTTTCTGGCATTTTTAAGCTCTTTTAAGATCAATAGAATCGTAAAAATCACACACAAAAAGCACAGCTACACATTACATTGCTTTTTGGACAGGAACAAATGGTCATCATCTAAAGTTGTACTCAATGTTGTGTCTGTCAATATCCTTTCTTATAGCTAATCTTCCATCTTCATCAAACACTCAAGACCGCCAGTTACTTCGAGCTGCCAACCTGATCCATGCTGACTTTAGTGCACATCCTTCTCTGCTGGAGGTTACCATAAGGTAAGTGTTATTTCTGCAACTGGAAATCTTGCAGAACTGCTTGTTCAGCATTATGCAGAGAACATGCTGAGGGATATTTCAGTCTAATGCATTTTATGATTGAGATGTAAAATGTGGAGTAATTACTGCATTGTCCTGCGGATGGCTGTGTCAACTCTTCATTTTCAGTAGTCCCCTATGTATGATAGAAAACCAGCACTGCGCAAAACCCTGCGAATGCCATCTATATGAAGTGTGGTGATGGTAGCATCATGTTGTGTGGATGCTTTCATTGGCAGGGACTGGAAAACGTGTCAGGATTGAGGGCAAGTTAGAAGAGGGCAAGGTAGAAGAAGCCACATACAAGGAAATTTCAGAGAAAACCTTTCTGATATGTGCTGTATTGTAGGGTCAGCTTACAGTATAGTGAACGCAACAGCGTTTCTTAGCACAGAGGGCTGCTGTTTCACATGTGTGTGGGTTGTGATTTGCGTGGGCACGAAAGCCCATTCATTTGAATGGACTCCCATGCCCCGGGGCATGCAGGGAAGAAGTCCTTGCACTATTTTGGAAATCGCAGCCCGCACAGGAACCGAGGTTCCCAGTACGGTTGTGATCTCCAGTGCGGGCGGCGTGCCATTAGAATTAATGGCACCCTCCTGTGGGTCCCGCATTCCTCTATGCGGGTGGTGCAGCTGCAAGTATTTGTGTGAGTCCCGCAGCGACACCACCCGCACAGATGTGAACCGGGGGTTAAGAACACTGTTTGGACTAGTCAAGTTACAAGGTATAGGAGGCTTCAACTGTAGCACCCAACCTCACCAAGGGGCTGCAGGGAATATACCCTATTTCTAATGCTACAGAACGCTGTCATACAATACATGGTGAGACATTGTGGACATGCTGCAGGAGTAATTGGACACAGACAGCGTTGAGACATGTAAATGCTAAAGATCACTGTCATTACAGCCCATTTACAAATCAGATTTCCCACTCATGACTGCTGGGTTCTGAAGCCTGCACAACAAGTATTAAAAGGCTGCAGGATGGGCACTAGAGTTTTAGCTAGTATTAGTTGTTTCTGGAGTTTTTTTTATATTCTATCATTTTTACTTTGTCACTCTTTCATTCTTTATTTACAAATGTATAACTTGTAAAAAAAAGAATAGTTACGACAGTACTGTGGCAAGTATCAAATATGTTATGTTTTCTTCTTTTTGATAACCTTTGTAGAAATGGCTCTTCCGCTGTCTATGGTTGCCAGAGCAGTGTCCACGAGACTTTCTTCCAGCAACTGGCACCTCCCTTCCGGAACTCTGGAGGTCCAGATTCCCAGGACACTGCTTTCATGTTACACAACAAAGCCAAGCAGAAGCTGCTGAAATATGGGCTTAACCTGCTGTAAAACAATGACTCAAAACAAAGCATTTCTTCCTGCTGCCATTATGGGCTTCCAATACACCTTCTACATCTCAATATAAGCACTGCGAGACTTTCACTGCAGTTAATGGACCACATACGAAGTCATACATTGTGAATTTCTCTATTTCATAAACCTGTTTCTAACTAAAATCTTCTGCAATTGTTTCTTTCATCACATATTAAAGTAATAAGTCAACCCTGTTGCTGGTGTGTAAATGTCCAATAGTGACTGGCAGTTGTGTTAAAAGCTAGGTTAAAAATTGGCTAGGCTGAAATTATTTTCTTCCATGTTGTTCAACATGTCAGGTAAGTGGCTTAAAGACAACCAATCATGTCTGGGCTTTTGTACAAATCTAAACATTCATTCTTTATAATTTACAAACGTTTGGGCACAGCAGGGATCAGTGGATGTAATAATGTCATTATATATTTCAAAGTGCACTGTAGAAGTAACAATGATGTTTATATTCCAATAGTGTTTATTGAACAATTTTTCAAATAACAGGTAATACAAATGAACAATGTCCTGTCAAAATATGTAGATTATAAATCAATGCAAATAAATTTTATCGGACATAAAATAATCAACTGGAGAGTAGCTATTGGATAATCTAGACCAGGGTCCACAGCCCTTATCCGACCATATATGGGGGACTGACACATTGGTAGAGAAAGGGATCTGGGAAGGGAACCAGGAGGGGGGAAGTTAGGAGGTGTAGTGGCAGGGAATGGGGAAGAACCACTGTTCAAGGACCTGAAATTACACACACAGTAATTGTCATTTGAGGCAGGACAAATGTTGTAGAACATATAGGGAATGGGCGTAACCCACCCTAACAGACAAAAGAGAGAATGATGAAGAATAGAGAAAACAGAATCGAAAAAGAGGAGAGGGTCAAGTTGAGGGACATTAAGGCACATAAATTGTTTTGTCAAATTTTTGTAGTATTATTGTGTAGAATACAGGTGAGCTTGTCATTAATCATAATCCAGTTCAATTTATTCTGTAACATTGATGTTTAAATGGAGAGATCACATACCATTCATCCAAAGACACAAGTAGCAGAGCAGCAATATTCAGAAAAATTAGGCTGTGAATGACTGCTAATTATTACCAGTATCTAGGGGCGGACTGACAATTTGGAAACTCGGGCACTGGCCGAGGGCCCGGAGTCAGTAGGGGGCCCCATGATATGCCCCTGGTATCTTTTTCATAGGCTTTTTTGAGTTTTGGCAAGGACACAGGGGTCCCATGATCCTCTATTGGCCGGGGGCCCCATGAGTTGTCAGTCCGCCCCTGCCAGTATCTTAGGATTTGAACTTCATCATCCCAACAAATCATGAGATTTACCACATTACTGAGCAGGTAAATCTAGTGCCTATTAAAGCAACCCCATCCTGACGCAACTTAGGTCATCTTACATGTATTATTAAGGGCAGACTGATAGCAAAATTAATGACAAATGTTGGATTTTGTGGGGGATTTCCTGTACTGTAATCTTGGACAAACCTTTCCACAACCCATACCTACATGGATAAACTTCTCTGGTTAAAGTACTCACATATTTGAAACATCTATGTTGTTGCTATGTTGAAAATTTTAATAACCTCCGACACTGCCAGTGCATTCCAGATGCATGCACAGCTCCCCTTCCTCAACCTTGCTATCAAGGTCCAGGCAGGGACCAGGGAAGATGTGCATTAAAGTCTAAGCTCACTTTAGTAAAAACAAATAATAATTTATTCACATGATTTTGCAGGTAATAAAATGTACATTTATTTTTTTTACACTGAAGCCTGAAATGCATTGTTCCCGCAATCAGTGGTGCAGCATCGGACACTGCTGACAGCTCTCTGCCTGTACCTCTGTACAGGAAGACAGCTACTCAGCTGCAGGAAGTGTCAGTGAACTACGAGGGTGCTGATCAGTACCTTCACAGTCCATTGAGAACTACAAGCAGTCTGCTGCGGAACCTTGAACTTCCGTGGCGTTTTTAAAATGTCATGCTGCGGGGAGAAGAACCCTCACCCACTGTCACAGGGAAGGGGGGGTGAAGCATGTTGAACATATTACATGTTCCACTCTAACATGGATGTAACATACACTCACCGCCCACTTTATTAGGTACACCTTGCTAGTACCGGATTGGATCCTCTTTTACCTTCAGAATTGCTTTAATTCTTCGTTGCACAGATTCAACAAGGTGTTAGAAACATTCCTCTGAGATTTTGGTTCATATTGACATGAGTTACTATTGCCTTTCTTTCATATCGAACCAGTCTGCCCATTCTCCTCTGACATTAACAAGACATTTTCATCCACACAACTGCCATTCACTGGATATTTTCAGGTTTTTTTTTATGTACTATTCTCTGTAAACCCTAGAGATGATTGTGCATGAAATCCCAGTAGATCAGCAGTTTTTGAAATACTCAGACCAGCCCATCAGGCGCCAACAACTCTGCCACATTCAAAGTCACTTAAATCTCCTTTCTTCACATTCTGGTGCTCGGCTTGAACTTCAGCAAGTTGAATTCACCACGTCTAGATGCCTAAATGCATTGAGTTGCTGCCACGTGATTGGCTGATTTGCAATTTATGTTACCAAGCAATTGAACGGGTGTACCTAATAAAGTGGCCGGTGAGTGTATAACATTTTCAGAAGGTGAACCTATCCTGTTTTCAGACTCTAATGCTTAGGACACATGATAAGAAAATTGGATGAAAAAATACAGCTTTTGGAGAGATCATATGATAATCTGATTGTTAATACACAGCTTTCGAGAGCCAATCAAAACAGTTCATGTGAAATTGTCCAAAGGGACAAACACCCACATTTTTCTTGTACGATACCAGAACAAAAGATTTTTGTTTAATCAGTACAGTATTCGTCCGTTAATAATAGAGAGACCAAGACTGTGCATGCTCAGAAATAAAGAATACATAATACATTACATCACTTCCAAGTTGTATTCTGTCTTACGAGAACTTCAGTAACCTCTTCATTTTCCATATGGGACTAGCATGCAAAACAAACCAAAAAGACACAAAAAAAAATGGGCGATCATTTGTCTGATATTCTCATTCTGTGTGCGTGCCTTAAGGATTCCCCAGCCCTAATATTAGCCAAGGTCCTGGAAGGGGCTAAGAAGTATGAGGAACTGCATATATCTGGAATGCAGAGACTCTGTAGTGTCAGAAGTGATTAAAAAGAAGAGGTTGATTTACAACACAGCAATGGTAAATACGTTTAAATTAAATAGCCCAGGGTATGCTTATGTGGGTACTTTAACCAGAGATGATCATCTCAATTGGCATAGGATGGTGACAGGCTCATTTAAAGCTCCCACACCTTTTTCTTTGTTTTTTTTTAATTCTTTATTTTTGAAAGGCAATTATAACAAACAGGATTTCCAAAGAACATATACAGCAAGCAAAGGAAAGAAAAACAACTCCATATCTTTTCTGATATCTGACCAGTCATGTGGCATGCTGAGTCCTCTAAAGCCTAGTACACATGATCAGAAAATTGTACGGAAAATATTGTTTTTGGAGCGATTATACGATAATGATTGTTAGTACACAGGTTTTTGTCTGAAATTAAGGGACAAGCATAAACATTTTTCTCATCTGATACCAGATTTTTGTTTTAACTGCTTTCCCACCACCCTATAGCAGATATATTGCTACAGGATGACAGTGGTCGTGTATATATACATGATTTTGCGTTTATGGGTAGGGGGGCGCACGACCTACCTGCACCGCTATTCGTTCAATCACCGGGTCCTGGCTGGTGAATCCTCAATGGCACCCAGTGATCGCCGAGCATTACTGACAGGAGGAGTGAACTGTATGTAAACAACATAAAAGTGTAATAAGCGAGTGCTGACCTGTCAGCAGCTATGCACCCAAGGTAACCAACAAAACCTTAATGAAATAAATAAATACAATAGTGCAGCGCTAAATTGATGATTAAAATATAACCATAGGTGGAATATATAAGCAATAAAATATGAGCGTACTTATGAGTATAATTATACTTAAAACATAGATGAAGATACGTAAGATAAATGTCAATCCTGAGCAATGTAAAAAAAAATTACATGGGGCAAAGTGATCCCTAATGGTGACTATATAGTGCTCTTAATGTCCCCAAAGCTTCAATCGGTGCTTTGTGATAGCGGAAGAAATGCGCACTCACCGGATGCGCAATAGTAATGCGCGTTTTTAAGATTTAAGATAGGGTGTTGACTGTGCTGATCGCGCTCCCTGCATGCTCCCAGAACAGGGAAGCTACTGTTCTGGGAGCATGCAGGGAGTGCGATCAGCACAGTCAACGCCCTGCTATCTTAAATTACACTTGCCAGATTTTTTTACTGGACATGTTTAATAGCAAAATGTAAAAAAATAGTTTTTTTTTCTAAAAATTGTCAGTCAGTTTTTTTTTTTATGGCGCAAAAAATAAAAAATGCACAGGCGATCAAATAACCACCAAAAGAAAGCTCAATTTGTGGGGAAAAAAGAACGTAAATGTCATTTGAGTGCAGCATTGCATGACCGCACAATTGTCAGTTAAAATAACGCAGCGCCATAACCCTAAAAATGGCCTGGTCAGGAAGGGGGGTAAATCCTCAGGAGGGCAAGTGGTTAATCAGTACAGTTTTCGTCTGAAAGTATAATACAAATACATTACATCACTTTCAAATTTTAAATCTGTCATACAAGAATTTTCATAACTTCAGTAACCTCTTCACTTTCGATGTGAGACTAGCATGCAAAATAAAACGGACAATCATTTGTCCAATATTCTCATCTTGGGTATTGGGATTTAGGATCTTCTCCAGGTAGCAGACAGTCTTTGATGATGCAGAGTAGTACTGATTTGATATCACAGTCCTTCTCCACATCAGGTAATCCAGGTAACCATTAAGAAAAAAAAAAAGTATGGATTTTCTCACTCGGCCTAAAATTTCATTAATCCAACTTTTCCAACATGCGTGTGTTGTTTTTCTTTTACCCCCTCCTCTTTATGCTTGTTGCTACCTGCTTCCAGATTGAATGATGGTCTGCATCTTTTTTTTTTGTGCAACCAGCAGGTTGCACAAAAAAAAATTGACTGCATTCCAGCATTCATACATTTGAGGTGGATGGGGGAATCCTCCTCGCTGAGCTATTGTATTCCGAGAGACTTCCCTGCCATCAGAAAACACTGATCAGTGTTTCCGGCTATAGCTGGTGGCACTGATCGAGCAGAAATATTTCAAGAGGGTGGCTGTAGAGAAGTTGATTGGTTGCTGCTAAAATCATACAAATTGTGATCCATGTATGGCTGGCTTTTCTGGTGAGCTCAGCTGTCAGGGACACTGCCTCTTGGGAGTGCGTCATCATGCCAGCCTAGTTTTTACAGTAGTGTATGGTAAGTACTATCCTATGCCAGCAGTATAGAAAAGAGAAAGGACCTCTAACATCACTGAAAAAGCACGGTGATCACTTGCACCAAGGTATATATTTGGGAAATTTAAAAATATTTGGTGGTTGAGGGGGAGAGAGTTAGGAAGACTGGACCTTGAGCTATGTAACAATTTCCTACTTCCAATTTTTTAGCTTGTAAATAACTCACCGCTGCGTAATCGGTTATCACAAAAACTCTCATCCATTTTGTCTCCTGAGACTTCAGGTGCGAATACACGATTAGAAAATCGACCGATCGGTCATCCGACAACCGAAAGGCGTTTGTTCGTTGGTCGAAATTGTGGCCCACATTCACCAATCTAAAAAAGTTGTTCATCGGGCAATACGTAGTGTTGACGTCTTCCGTACAAGTGGAAGTGATGCAGTGTGCGTGTGACCTTGTAGCCACTCCCTTCCGGCCAGAACGAGCGATATACACAATTAACTGCAATGAGTATAATATAGTTTATGACATTATCTATATACATAAATAGTGATACATGAAATATAATATGCAGAATTCTGGTTTCATCTCAATCTACTTTTAACATTTGGATTTTCCGTTTGTGTTTACGAAGATTTCTTGGACATAAACATCCGAGTCATCTTCTGTTTCCACTCATGCATGATAGCGCTTGATAGATTTTTTTTCATACGACCGTTATACCACCACATAGAAAATCGGTTGTTCGTATGCAAAACAACAAAATTTCTCACTGTTGTTCAACTGGATTTTTTCGTTCACAATATTGTTATCGGCTAAAACATCCTGCTCATCAACGAAGAGAAAATCGTTCGATCAGTGGTTCCATAAAATTTTTTTGTACGATTTTCTTATCATGTGTACGGGGTATTACTTATTTCTCAATATCCATGTTCAGTATTCATGTGGACCTTTAAGCAACTTTACAAGTCAGTATGAATAGATTGCTGTGTCAGAACATACAGCAACAGCATTACTTTAGTAAAGTTGTACTTTTTATGAGCAAAAAATACTCTCTGAGCTCCAACCAATGACTATGCCCAGGCTAAGAAAGTGTCATCAATCTGCTGCAGGCAGAAAGAAGAATTTCCTTAGTCTCCTCTCCACCAGTGATCATTCCTGCAAACATTGGACGGAATTCACAAGGTAATGCTGATCTATGTCAGACATTTGTTAACACACCCATAAGTTACAAGGTAACCAAGATTTACATGATTGTGTCATCTCTAAGCCAGCCAGCATCTCAGTCCAGGAAGAGGATGACCCAGGATGATGCTGAAACAAAGATGGCTATGTCCTACTGGAAGGAAAGACTATTGAAGGCAATGGTAGAGGGGGTACTTTACGCTTTGTAAATGGTCATATATACCCCTAAAGCTAGGTATACATAGATTTTTTTTTGTTTAGCCTGAAGACTGAACAAAAATAATCAGATTCCCCCATGCATGCTGGTAGACACAGGTGAACAAATCTGCTGCAGGTATTGGATGCAGCCGCTATTCAATTGACAATTTTCTGCCCAGCTTCTTTGATTTTTCAATTGAAGAATGTCAGCCAGGAGGCATCTGACGGGCCAATCATATAGCAAATGTTGGCCGGTTCCACAGGAAAAACTAAAATTTGTATAGTGTGTACACAGCTTTGCACATTATTTAACTTACATGTACACATATAATGAAAAAAATATATATATGATACTAGATCCAAGCTGACAATTACAGCACACCAATTGGACACCTTAACTTCCTATGACAGTCACATGTCAATCACTAACCACTGTATGTCAACTGCCAGAGAAAGTGGCTGGAAATGGAATGCAACAACGCCACCATCAAACCCGCCCCGCAGGCCAGAGTACTTGGTGTCATTCTGGACTCCAACCTATTCTTCCAGCCTCAAGCCCAATCTTTAACTAACTCATGCAGACTCCACCTCCGCAACATCGCCAAAATCCGCACGTTCCTAACCCCAGAAACCACTAAACAGCTCATCCACTCCCTCATCATATCACGACTCGACTACTGCAACTCCCTCCTCACTGGCCTGCCTCGCCGCTGGCTATCCCCGCTTCAGTCCATCCTGAATACGGCTGCCAGACTCATTCACCTTTCCAACCTCTCCATTTCCGCCCACCCCCCTCTGCCAATCCCTCCACTGGCTTCCGATTGCGCAAAGGATCAAATTCAAAATCCTAACACTGACGTACAAAGCTGTCCACCATACTGCCCCGAACTACATCACTGACCTAATATCAAAGTACCACCCAGCACGCACACTCCGCTCCTCACAAGACCTCCTTCTCTCTAGTTCCCTGGTCTCCTCCTCCCATGCCCGCCTCCAGGACTTCTCCAGGGTGTCACCCATCCTCTGGAACTCCCTACCCCAACCTATCAGATTATCACCTACTCTCCACTCCTTTAGGCGCACCCTGAAAACCCATCTCTTCAGGGAAGCCTACCCCCCCCCTGCTAACTTGCCGACCTCCTCCACTCTTCCTACCACTCCATCCCCCACAGCTATCTCCTCCTGTGCCACCACCCCCTCCCTCCTAGATTGTAAGCTCGAAAGAGCAGGGCCCTCGATCCCCTCATGTTTTGCATTGTATTGGTATTGTTCTGTCACATGTTCTGTCCCCCTTTCTAATGTACAGCGCTGAGCAAACTATTGGCGCTTTATAAATACTGTATAATAATAATAATAATGAAGGGCATTGGTGCCAGTGACAATCAGTAAGGCTACCCATACATTAAACAATTTTCTTTTAGATTTACCCAAACCATATAATAGGTCAAACCTAAACATTTTCAAATTGTATGCAGTCAGGCAGGCCCTTGCACTACATAGCTGAAGATAAATCTAAAGGAAATTGAATGCAAAAATTGCATAATGTATGGATAGCTTAAGGCTTTGTTCACACAGGCTCCTACTTGTATGAGAAGCTTTTTGCAAAGCATTCAGCAAGGTTCAAGTGATATTTAAAAAAAACATGTTCTACTTACCTGCTCTGTGTGGTTTTGCATATAGCAGCCCCAATCCTCTTCTTGGGTCCCCCACGGACGCTCCTGGCTGCTCCCTCCTGCCCCCAGAGGAAGTAGCTTACTATGGGGGCACCCAGGCAGGCTCACTCCCAAACCACTGCTCTGTGTGTCTATTTACACACAGAGCTCTGGCTCGGCCCTGCCCCTCTCTCTCCTCATTGGCTCACTAGTTGTGATCGCGATGGAGCTCAGCTAAGTATTGGGGGGGGGGGGCTGCTGCTGCACACAGCCTTTACAATCACTTTAAATAACTCTTCAATTCCAGTTTTGGAATGCTAAACATAGATCTGTATGGGAGTGCTGCCACTTAGCCCTCTAATGGGGTTTCAACAAGCTTTACAAAGCGCTGAATCCTGCTAGTAGCTTGTTTAAGTGCCTCCCACCCGCCATATAAGGTAATGACGGACGCAAGGTGGTCCTCTTGTTCTCCCACTCTAACCGCGTGTGCGAGACTCCGGGAGCGCGCAGCGCGGCGATCGGTGGTGTGTGCTGTGTCCCTCGGACACAGTGGATCATAGATCAACGGAAAGAGCCAAAGCTGTCGGCTCGGTCATGTGTTCAGCTGTGTCCAATCACAGCTGATCGCGTGTAAATGGGGAAATGCCGGTTATTATTGGCATTTCTCTCCCCACGAGCTCTCAAGCTGACAGCTCGAGGTGAGAGGAGAGCCGGTAATCAGCATTTCTCAGAGGGGACATGTGCACTGATCATCAGGGCACAGCAGTGCCACCTGTCAGTGTCCATCAATGCCACTTGTCAGTGCACATCAATGTCACCTGCCAGTGCCCATCAATGCCACCTACCAGTGCCTTCCAGTGCACATCAATGCAACATATCAGTACCCATCTAAGCTGCCTTTCAGTGTCACCTGTCAGTGCCACCTATCAGTGATGGCAGTCAGTGCCGCCTAACAGTGCCAGTCAGTGCCACCTATCAGTGCCATATATGAGTGCTGCCTTTCAGTGCCCATCAGTGATGCCTGTCAATGCCCATCAATGCAACCTACTAGTGCCTCTCTCATCAATGCCCATCAGTGCCACCTATCAGTGTCCATCAGTGCAGCCTATCAGTTCCCATCCCTGCAGCGTCATTAGTGCACATCAGTGAAGGAAAAAATCATCACTTATTTACAAAATGTTATAACAAAAACTAAGAAAAAAAAATGTTTTTTCAAACTTTTCAGTTGTTTTTGGTTTGTTTAGCAAACAATAAAAAACCCAGAGGTGATTAAATACCACCAAAAGAAAGCTCTATCTGTCACAAAAAAATGATAAAAATTTCATATGGGTACAATGTTGCATGACCACGCAATTGTCATTCAAAGTGTGACCGTCCTGAAAGCTGAAAACTGGTCTGTGCAGGAAGGGGGTATAAGTGCCCTGTAGGCAAAGGGGTTAAAGGCTTCAACCAAAGCTTGACAAAAGCTCTGTAAAAGCTTTGTAAATGCTCTGTGTACTTACTGCTCTTGTAGAAGCTGAAGCCTGTGCTGTTTTAGTAACCAAAATTACTATTTGTGATAATGCTTACTGTCTGTATTATGTTAGTGAATTTGTACAAAGAAAGCTGCCAGTTCCAGACATGGAAGTGAGAGCGAGACGTCAGCAGGGGCGGACTGACCATTCGAGCACTCGGGCACTACCCGAGCGGGGCCCGGGGTCAGTAGGAGGCCCCATGAAATGCCCCTGGTACCTTTTTTATAGGTTTTTTTGAGTGTGGGCAAGGACACAGGGGCCCCATGATCCCTATTGCCCGGGGGGGCCCCATGAGTTGTCAGTCCGCCCCTGGACGTCAGTGTAGATCCTGCCTCAGTTGATTTCATGCGAATGCACTAGCATCCCCTGAAGACATGCATTCACATGAAACTGGTTGGGGCAGGATCTACACTAACGTCTCACTGGCACTTACATGTCTGGAACTGGCGGCTTTCTCTGCAAGTGCACTGTTTTATTTGTCATGACAATCATTTTACTGGCATTTGGATGTTTGGATGAAACCATTTGCTTTTTTATGTGAAATTTCTACTTTTTAATTAACATACATCCTATGTGGTCCACTGCTTGTATTCCCAGACAGTATCAAGCAAACCTTCTGATGATCCCCACTGATGAGAAGCGGTACTGCAGGGTGTCCCCATTGTAAGAATGGAGCTGGTTGACAACGTGAAGGATCCTGTTGACAAAAATACGCAGTTTCTGCTTTCCTCTGCCAGCTTTAATGTCAGTGAGTACATTTTAGCTCTATTGCTCATGTGTGGTGGAGAGGATTTCCATTAGTTGGTGGAAGACACTTTCTCTGCGGTGATATTTATCATATATTTCGAAATTTTTTTGCATTGGACTTTATTTACACTGATTTGTTTTTCATTTTTGAGTATTGTGGATGCTTTTTGCACATTATGAATGTTGTGTTTAGCACATGCTTTAAGCGTGTAATAATTTATATTTAGAGGCACTGAATTATTTTCTTTGTTGTATTTCCATAGACTTGTATGGTACATGCTGGGGGCTGGTACATGACAGCCTTGGCTCAGAGGAAGTGGGTTGAAAGATGATGGCCATCATTGATTCTTCAAGATTGAGGACATGTAGTGGCAGAAAAGAAATACTGTGTGAGGTAGCCCGGAGTGAAGGTGCATATTGCAGCAAAGGTGTTTTTTTAATCCCTTCATGACTATAACATTTTAAAGATTGTGTAAGAGGAGTGTATGTGGGGCAATAGTGTTAGTTACAAATTGTACCATTGGAGGGTATCATCCCTATATGAAACAACATAAAAGAATACATATACTGGGACTTTAAATCCCCCCCCCCCATAGTAAAGTATATACACAGCAAAGAATGTTAAAAAGATTTACATATCTTTATTACTTCAATTTAAAAACTTCAGTTACAAGTTCATAGTAAGATGCCAACTCTACCACTTGTCCTCCACATAAATAAACAGAAGATCTGTAGCATGAAAGTCCTTAGAGACCTTTAGGCTTCATGTACACTGTAGCTAATAAACTCACATTCAGGAACTGTTCAGCATTTTTTTTCAGCAGCCCCTGAACTCTCCCTAATGTTTTCCTATGTGTCTATGTACAGATATTTGTTTACAGGCAGTTGAGTTTACAGTCGTTTTTTTTTGAAACACACCAAGCTTGTGTTCAGGAATAGATTTTATCGCTTCTCGGCCTTTTAGCTAAGATCAAGTGTAGTATCTGTTCTTATCAGTGTCCAGTGGGGGTGCTCCCGGCCATTCTATTTTTGCGGGGATGGCTGTTGTATAGTACCCTCACTGGTATGATGGGGGTCTGGATGGCTATTACGGGGGGAACAGAAACCGGGACGCCCACATGTTGCTGGGGCCTGGGAGTAATTCCCCTTTGGAACGTCTGAAGGACCCAGTACCTCCTGATTTGGACGGATCTACCTTGTCTGGCCAGGGGCTGGGAAGGCAGAAAGTCCGCAAACTCAGTGCCCCTGAGTAGACGCCCTCAGGGGTGCCACTAGTAACACCTGGGTGTGGGACCCCACAGTGTGAAGATGGCACAAGGCCACTGTTTTTCACTCTTTTTGCACAAGTGCCCTTAGGACCAGGCCTTTTGACTAGGAGCAGGGCAATTTTTGCTACAGGCCTCAGGGCACGGTCCACTTTTTTATTTTCTATCTATTTAATTTATTCACTCCCACGTTTTGTCACTTTTTCTTGCTTATGTGTGTGTTTTTCACAGGATGGAGGGTGTGGGTCCTTGGGCCTGCCCTGAAGTCTAGGGGGAGGATGTGTGGCCTTTTGGTTCCTTCCTCCCCTGATCCCTAGGGGGTTTTCTCTTCGGGAGAGCCCCCTGACCAAGTACTGGGTGTCCGGCTTCGGCTGGACACAAGGAACGGTGGTCCACCAGGCCTTTTGGCCAGGAGGACCAAATGGGAACCTTGTCCCTGTCAGGAGCTTCGTGCCCCGGGGGATCAGGGTAGTGGTCCATCTCCTTCGGGGGGGAAGGGCAAAGCACACCCCTAAGTGCACTTTTTCGTGTGGTGTTCGCACTTGCACTTTTTTTGTGATCACTTACGGGTTTTTTGTTCTAGTTTGCACGTTTGCGGACTTAAAAAAAAAAAAAAAAAAAAAATTGATTTTATCAGCGTTTCAAATGCCAAATGCGCGTAAACGTGGTTAACCACGTTTATAAGCGTTTGCGTTTAGAAGTGTTTTTTAATTGTTCCATATCCAAATGCTGTCCAGAGCCTTTTTTCATCATCAGAAATGCATGCAAAGCGTTTTCCATGTATTCAAATGGACCTAGCACACCAGCGGAGTCAGTTCCAGGTTTCACGTGAAGGAAAAAATAGTAGAACGTGGCTAGATATCGCCCAAATCGCCTACTCTGCTCCTCCCAAGACATCTTCCTCTCTAGCTCCCTCATCACCTCCTCCCACGCTCGCCTCCAGGACTTCTCCAGAGCCTCTCCCATCCTCTGGAACTCCCTACCTCAGTATGTCCAGTCAGCCCCCACCCCGTCGGCCATTAGGCGATCTTTGACAACTAACAGATTCAGGGAAGCCTACCCCACCTCCGCCTAAGAACTGTACTTGAGCCACCTCCATCAGAACATCGCCTACAGCTATCACCTTTTGTATCTCCTCCCCCTTCCTTTAGATTGTAAGCTCCACGAGCAGGGCCCTCCTACTCCTTCTGTACTGAAATGTATTGTAATTGTACCCCATTCTATTGTAAAGCGCTGCGCAAACTGTTGGTGCTATATAAATCCTGTATAATAATAATAATGCATGTTTAGGCTCTTTTGTGCTTTTTTATGCTCCAAAGTTCCTCTCCTGAACGTACAGGATATGGGTTTTTCTTTTTTGACCTCTAAACGCTCCTTCCTCTAAACTCCTATGTGTACATGGCCACTTAGGTTAACATGGAGGGGTGTCTGGAGGCTGAAAAAAGAAAGCTCAAATGCCTGTAAATGGCAGTATTTTTTGAGCTCAAGTGTGCATGGGGCCTAACCTGAGAGCTGGACAGCAACATTCTTCAGCATTTAGGCCAAAGAGGAAATGACGGTGTGGATGCAGGTGAGTAGTTTTTTTTTTTTTAAAGATCCTTTTGCTGTTAATTTGCCACAAACAATATAATAATTAATGTGGCATAGTTACATAGCCTGGCTGCTGAAAAAGACAAAAGTCATCCAGTTCAACCATTAAAAAAAAAAGTTATAATCCTATACCCACAGCTGATCCAGAGGAAGGCAAAAAAACCCAGCAAAGCATGATCCAATTTGCTCCTGCAGGGGAAAAATTCCTTTCTGATCCCGAGAGGCAATCGGATATTTCCTGGATCAACTTTACCTATAAATGTTAGTATCCAGTTATATTCTGTGTATCCAAGAAAGAATCCAGGCCTTTTTTACCACTTGCCTACAGGGCACTTATACCCCCTTTCTGCCCAGGCCAATTTTCAGCTTTCAGTGCTGTCACACTTTGAATGACAATTGCGCGGTCATGCAACACTGTACCCATATAAAATTTTTATCATTTTTTTGAGACAGATAGAGCTTTATTTTGGGGGTATTTAATTACCTCTGGGTTTTTTATTTTTTGCTAAACAAACCAAAAACAACTGAAAATTGTGAAAAAAAAAAAAGTTTTTTTCTTAGTATTTGTTATAAAATTTGTAAATAAGTGATTTTTCTCCTTCACTGATGTGCGCTAATGACTCTGCAGTGATGGGAACTGATAGGCTGCACTGATAGGTGGCACTGATGAGGAGGAACTTGTAGGTGGCTCTGATGGCAGTGACAGGCATCACTGATGGGCACTGAAAGACAGCACTCGTATATGGCACTGACAGTTGGCACTGACTGGCACAGTTAGGCGGCACTGATAGGCAGCACTTATGGGCACTGATAGGTGGCTCTGAAAAGCAGCTCATATGGGCACTGATATGTGGCATTGATGTGCACTGGTAGGCACTGATATGTGGCATTGATGTGGCACTGATGGGCACTGGCAGGTGGCATTGATGAGCAC